ACAAGGACTGTGCATACACTAGGGCGTCCGTAGTGTAGGATAAGCACTGGTAAAAGGTATCAAGAATAGAGTGTCTTGAGGAAATAGCCGGTGTATGGTTATAGCAAGCCTGGGGGGTAAATTTACCACCCGCTTATGCATGCATTAGGTTAGAAATAGGGGTAAACAACTTGTAACGGTGAAGTACAAGTCCTATGCAGCAAGCAGCAGCCAGCAGCAGCAGCAGCAGCCGCCTGCAGCCAGCAGCCAGCAGCAACCACCAACCAGCAGCCAGCCAGCAGCACCACGCAGCAGCAGCGCAGCATCAAGCCGCAGCAGCAGCAGCACCACCGGCAGCAAGCAGCAAGCAGCAGCAGCAAGCAGCAAGCAGCAGTAGCAGCGGCGTCGTCAGCAACAGCAGCAGCAGCACCAAGCCGCAACAAGTAGCAAAGCAGCAGCTACAAAAGCGGCAACCAGCGGCAGCAGCAAACAGCAGCAGCAAGCAGCAGAGCGGCAGCAGCAGCAGCACCCTTTACACCAAGCCACCGTTACACCCAACCAACCACGTTCACACGTTCAACCAACCCCCTACACGGCGCAGCTGGGAGTTGAACCGCGGGGGGGGGGGGTTTGCTTGATATATCAATCTTTAAGGCACGCAGCCCCTCCCACCACAACATTGCTAAAGCAAAGAAGAACTCAGCTAGCATGCTAGCTTTCGTGACTTTGGCGTCCAGTATTCCAATCCATGACTGCTCTGGAAGGTAGACAACCGGGCAAACATTGAAATGCAGGACCTTGGTGAGATCCAAAGTACAGTGGAAAGGGAAATCATATATAAAGAGTATATGTTATAGGTTAATGAACCTTCATGACATGTCATGACATGTAAACTCATGAGTACTACGCAAGTTCATGCGCAAAACATGGCATGAAAACTCATATAAACACATCCCATGTCCATGAACAAAGACATGGCATGAAAACTCACAAACACATTGCGTTTCCATATTTCCATGAAAGTCGATGCAAAAGGACATGGCATGAAAACGCATGAGCGCACAGCATGTCTATGAACAACGACATTGCATGAACACTCATGAGTGCATCGACTCTGTCCACAACCAAACTATCGTGACATTGGTTGAAACTTGTAGTTTGGTGAACACCCAGTCTCAACAGATTGAAACTTGGTGACCACCCGGTCTCAACAGGTGTATATAATTGACGTCTCAAAGACACTTTCAATTCCCTGGACACGAGGTTTCTCGAGACATCGGTGAACAGTGCGCAGAACTCAAACTTGTTGAACCCTCACATAAAACATATATCATTGGCGTTGAACACCTGACAACAGTCATATTGCCCATGCCGCATGCCATGAGGAGAAACCAATGACATGTCATTGTGACATGACGCGGCATGACCATCCCATGACATGCATCCTATGTAACATGACCTTCCCATGACGTCCATGAAGCAAAATGCTATACGACATGGCTCAAAACACCTTTCGACACTCCAGTCACATGTCCATGAGGAAAAGTGACATGATGTGATGTGACATGGCGTGTTGCAGCCCAGTGTCTGGTTTTTCCAACTCTGAAGGAGCGTGTCCGTGATGCTACACAGGTGCAGGAAGGACTGGCAACACCTTCTGAGTCCAGGGCTGCAGTCATCAAGAACAAACTGTAGAATATAGCACCGAAGGATCAGCAGGAAGTTGATGGTCTCTGAAGCGCTTCCTTTCAAAGGATCTGTCTTGTTGGACCGCTTCTCCAGGCAAGCCTTAGGCCTGGCTCCCTGAAGCCGACGCGGCATCACAAAGGCCTGAACAAACAAGGCTATGTCTTGAGCCTGGTGACCTCCCTTGTGGAGCTCTGCTATTGTGAGTCCAGCGTGCACGGAAGCAACCCCATGCACAAAATAAATATGGAACCAGTCGAACATCGTAGCGCTCAGCAGGTACTGGTGGCGCGGGATGCTCAACAGGCTTCGTTCATGCCAGGTGTTGCTGCAGCCGACTTTGGTTGCGCTGCCAGGAGGGGCGGCCTTGTAGCTGGCCTTGCCGGCGGCGGCGGGTTTATGTGGGTGAACCCGGCCTTGGCTTTCGGTCCTGCAGACGTCGATGCCGATGCCCCTGGAGCAAAGGCTGGGGTCGGGAGAGCATCTGGCTGCGGAGCAAGATCTTCAGGACGTGGTGGCGCCACCGATGGGCGACGGGGCGCTTCTGAGGGTGATCGACGGCGTCGTGATGGCTCCTCCTGAATTCCGAGTCAACATGTACGTGATCCGTGCATGACACATGAGCATGCGTGAACATGAGCATGAAGTGTGGGCTCCTGTCGTCGTCGAGGACTTCGTGTTTGCGACCGTTGCTCTCGCTTCACCTCATGGAAAGGCAAGATCAATGAGTTGACAGGTCTCAATGAGTTGAGGTGATATATGAAGTGTCTCAAATTTTCAATAGCATGTTCTTCTTGGAGTCTGAAGTGTTTCGACTTGCGTGTGCACCTCCATCGCCATCGGTGCTCGAGCTCGCCCTCGACGGCGTCGACGGTCCTGTGGAGTGCGTGCAGATGAACATGAAACAACAAATCACTCATGACATGTTCTGTGCAAGCTTGTTTTCCCCGTTTGTTTTCAGGACCTCATGTTCTGTTCACCTTCGCATGGGCTCTCTGTCGGTCTCCCCGCCTGCTCATCTTCGGAGTCGCTGACCTCCTGCACATGCGAAAGTCTGCATGGAAAGTTGCATGGCATGACAACATGAAGTGGCACATGGTACATGAAGTGACAACATGCGAGTGAAGAGACAACATGCCGATGCCTGGACTTCGAGGCACGATCGCACCCAGCGATGCTGCCAGTTCTGATACTCCCACTCTCCTGGCGCAATTGCAAAACTACATGTGCAGTCACCCATGCATCATGTCAATCAAAACTCAGTGAGCAAACATCAAACACAATTGTGCCATGTGCTCTCATTGCGCTCCTTCTTGTGGAATGCGGCTGCTGGAGCCGGTTCCGACTGCCCTGAAGACAGTCCAGCCGCTTTCTAGGAGTTGTATTCTCCAGCCTTTGGACCGCGTCCATGTCAGGCTCGCGACCGCATTGGAGAACTCGCACTCCCTGCCCTGACACGGGGTGGGCAACATGACATGAACATCAGTTATCATGGGCTGTGGACATGACATGTCATGAACGTATCATGGACGTGTCATGGACACAAGCGCGTATTTACATTCCGTGTAAACTCTTGCCCAGTCCTTCCCCAACCCAGCCTCCTCCTCCTCCATGCGCGTGGTCAAGCACGCCTGATGGAAGCCCTCCACTTCAGGATCATCCTGCAGAGTTGGGCATTGTGGCTCGAGAATCAAATGAAGATGGACAGAAAATGGTATGAAGCATCTGACAAGACTCCTACCACGCGCCCCTTACCACTGTAAGAGCCCCCTGTATAAGAATGCTGGAACTGCAAGACTCCTCGTCATCCGTGTCGTCCCGCTTGTCCACGAGGTTGAAATGGAGTTTGCGTCCCATG